TGTGCATCAAGAATTCCTACCACAAGGTCGTACGGTAAACAAGGAGTATTACCTTGAGGTTATGCGGCGTTTGCGTGAATCAATAAGAAAAAAACGTCCGGAAGTGTGGAAAGAAAATTCATGGATTCTGCACCATGATAATGCACCTGCGCACACGTCGTTACTAGTGAGTAGTTTTTTGGCCAAAAACAATACTATCATCATGCCTCAGCCACCGTATTCACCAGACTTGGCCCCCTGCGACTTTTTCCTCTTCCCAAAATTGAAAAGGCCTATGAAAGGACGAAGATTTGCGACGATTGAGGAGATTAAGGCTGCATCGCTGGAGGAGCTCAAGGCAATACCCAAAAGTGCATTTCAGAAATGTTTTGACGACTGGAAAAAGCGCTGGCACAAGTGCATTGTATCAGAGGGGGATTATTTTGAAGGGGATAACATAATTTTGGATGAATAAATGAATATTTTTTTATAAAAATGAAAAGTCACCTTACTTTTTGATCACACCTCGTATATATATGGTAAAGCACCTTTTGGGAATATAGTTCCATGTACTTATATTTGCCAAATATTCACGATAGTAATTATTCTTTATCGTTTTTGTCTTATATTGAGAAATGCTCCGCTTTATTTTCGTACGTACTTTCACTATGCAAAAGGTTTATAACTCGGCGCATGTGGAAAGAAATAATCTTTGCAGAATGATTCGGTGTCATGATAGTAGCTATTCCTTATCATTTTCTTCTCATATTGAGGAATGGTGAAAGTACGTGCGGGACATTTCTCAATATAAGAGGAAAACGATAACGGACAGTTACTATCATGACACTAAATCTTTCTGCAAAGATTAGTTCTTTCCACATGCGCCGAATTATAAACTATTTTGCATGGTAAAACGACGTGTGAAAATGAAGCGGAGCATTCGTCATTATGAGACGAAAACGATAAGAAAAAATCTGTTTAAAATTTTCAATCTATGATATATCTATAATATATTTATGAATATTTGTACGAAACGAGCACAATCGTCAAAATGTTATATTTGATAAGCAACATATTCGCGCTATCGTTGCGTCGCATTATTTTTTCATTTATCGTTCCTTCACAAATGCTATGCAAGTGTGTGCTACGTTGTTATTTCAATTTATATATATTATATTGTATATATATATACCAGGTGTAGAAGTATGAAACCGGAATTTTTTTATACAAATAAGACGTCTGTTGTTCGAAAGTGATAAATAATACTTTATTCAAAATAATTTCCACTGTTTTGAACACATTTTTCCCACCTCTCTGGCAGTTTATGAATGCCGTGCCAAAAAAACTTTTCATCTTTTGAAGCGAACCAGTTATCTAGCCATTTTTCCACATTTTCATACGAATCGAAGCGTTGGTTAGCGAGAGCGTGTCCTAGCGATGCGAACAGGTGATAATCGGACGGAGCCAAGTCTGGAGAATAAGCCGCATGCGGTAGTAATTCCCAACTGAA